TCCCATCCCATCCCATCCCATCCCATCCCATCCCATTCCATAGGTTTATCCTTAGGGAATCCCTCTGTGCTGCCAGCATGGGGCCAGGAGCAACGCAAAATCTCAACCCAAATATCCCGATTTTCCAAGTTCCGAGTATTCTCCACTCCACAAAAAGGGGAGGTGAGGCTGTTTTTTCATGGAATTCCAACAGCCTCGGGCATCACAGCTGGGATGAGCAGCGAATCCCAATTTCCTCTGATCGTGGCAAGGAAGTTTCTTTATTAAACTTTATTAAATTGGACTGAACTGTATTGAACTTTTGTTTGTCCTTCCTTAAACCCTTGGGGTTTGTTTTGTCCTCTCACAACCCTGGCTGCTTCCCGTAGATCCCGTGGGGCTGTGGGGAAAAGGGAAGTTGGGAATAATAAAAATAAAAAAAGAATACTATCACCAAATAGAAGAGATATCTAAATTATGTATAACTATGGATGGATATATATAATTATATGTTGATTATCTGTTAAAGAAGTTTTCCCCAATCAAACCCAAACCATTTCCTTTCATCCCATCCATTATTCCCCAGGAGCAGATCCCGATCCCACCCGGCTCCAGCCGCCTGTCAGGGATTGTGGAGAGGGAAAAGGTCCCCCCTGGAGCCTCCTTTCCCCGCTCCCTCCTGGGGCTCCAGCCCCTTCCCGGCTCCATTCCCATCCCTGGACACGCTCCAACCTCTCCTCTTCCCGTGCTGGATCCAGGGCTGGACACGGGATTTGAGCTGTGACCTCCGCAGTGCCGGCACTGAGGCAGCGGCTGGGGGACATCCCGGGGGTGAGGATCCCATGGGATGAGGATTCCAGAGGAATGAGGATCCCACGGGATGAGGATCCTAGCGGGACGAAGGTCCCAGCGGGGTGACAATTCCCACCTCGAAGGCGGAGGTCCCGCCGCCCTTTCCCCCTTTTCCCGAGGCTCCCGCGGGACGCCCCGGCCGCCGCCGCCGCTCCCCCCGCGCTGCCGGGCGGGCCCCGCCGGGGCGGAGCCGCCGGGAGGATGCGGGAGGGGACCCGGGGCGGGGGCAGCTCCTGGCCGGGATTCACCGCCGCGCTCCCTCCCGGCCCCGCGGGCGCTTCCTTCCCCCGCCGGGGCCGCTATAAAGGGCGCGGCCGGGAGCGGAGCTCCGTGCTCAGCTCGGGCCGCCGCCGGCCGCCCCCTCCGCGGGCCATGCGGCCGCTGCTGCCGCTGCTGCTGCTGCTCGGGCCGCTGGCGCTGGCGCAGCCCCGGGAGCCGCTCCCCGCGGGCGCGCAGTGCCTGGAGCACGAGTGTTTCGCCGTGTTCTGGGAGTCCCGGCCTTTCTCCGGCGCCAGCGAGGGCTGCCAGCGGGCCGGGGGGCACCTCATGACCGTGCGCTCCACCGTGGCCGAGGAGGCGATCGTGCTGCTGCTGCAGAACCGCCCGGGCCGGCTCTGGCTCGGGCTGTCGCTGTCGCCCACCTTGTCCTGCACCGAGCCCGGCTGGCAGCTCCGCGGCTTCCGCTGGGTCACGGGCGACAGCAGCACCGATTACACCAACTGGGCTCCGTCGGGGAAGCGCTGCGGCGAGCGCTGCGTGACCGTGTCCCGGGAGCTGAGCTGGGAGGAGCGGCACTGCGAGGAGCCGGCCGACGGCTTCCTCTGCCAGTACAGCTACGGCGGCAGCTGTCCCCGCCTGGCCGCCCCGCACGGCGCGACCGTCAACTACCGCACCCCGTTCGGCGCCCGCGGAACCGAGTTCCTGGCGCTGCCTCCGCTCAGCCTGGCCTTCGTCCCCGAGCTCGGGCTAGAGCTGCGCTGCGAGGACGGCGAGGGCGCGGGCCCGCGCTGGGCCCGGGAGGCTCCGGGAGCGTGGCCGTGCCGGCTGGCGGGCGGGGGCTGCGCGGGGACGTGCGCGGAGGAGCGCGGGGAAGCGCGCTGCTCCTGCCCCGAGGGCGCGCTGCTGGCCGCGGACGGGCGCGGCTGCCGCTCGCCCTGCGAGGGGGCGCAGTGCCAGCACCACTGCGTGGTGGCCGGGGACTCCTTCGTGTGCATGTGCGCCGTCGGCTACCGGCTGGCGGCCGACGGCATCAGCTGCGAGGACATCGACGACTGCGCCGCCGAGCCCGGCCCCTGCGAGCAGGAGTGCGTGAACACCCAGGGCGGCTTCGAGTGCCGCTGCCACCGCGGATGGAGGATGGAGGACGGGCGCTGCCAGCGGCTGCCCGCCTGCTGGGAGGCTCCGTGCGAGCACTTCTGCGAGGAGCTGCCGCACGGCTACCGCTGCTCCTGCCAGCCCGGCTACGCCGTGGACCCGCTGAACGCCACCCGCTGCGTCCTGTTCTGCAACACCACCGAGTGCCCGCCCGTGTGCGACGCCACCGGCTGCTATTGTCCCGAGGGGTTCCTGCTGGACGGCGAAATCTCTCTGTGCACGGACGTGGACGAGTGCAATGGCAACCACTGCCAGTTCAACTGCACCAACACCCCCGGCAGCTTCCAGTGCCGCTGTCCCAGCGGCTTCCACCTCCGCGGCATCGACTGCGTCCCCGTCCTGGGCGGGGGGGACGGCGAGGAAGAGTTCTCGGGGGACTTGGAGCCCGGCTCGCCCACGGCCGTGCCCAGCCGGGCCCCGCCGAAAGCGGAGGGGCTGCACCCCGGGGCGCTGGTGGGCATCGCCGCCGGAGCCCTCCTGAGCCTCCTGGCCCTGCTGGCTGCCGGGTTCCACCTGGCCAGGAAGCGCTGCGGCTCCCGGGGCTCGGGGGATTACAAGTACAGCGGCCCCCAGGAGAAGGAGCTGGGGCTGCAGCCCGTCCCCGCCGCGCAGAAGCCGTAGGGACAGCGGGCAGGACGGACAGCGGGAGGCCGAACTGCGGGACCTTTACCCTCCCCTCCTTCCCCCACTCCGCCCCTCCCGGCTGGAATTTTCTGGTGGGTAATTCGGGAGGAGCTGCCATCACCCCGCTCCCAGAAATAACTGCTCTCGTCCCAGCCGCCTCTTGGAACTCTGGCGCCGGAGAGCTGGGACGGAGGAACACCCGGAGGCTGCCGCGCTCCCGCTCCGCTCCCGCTTCCTTGGCGCTCAGCTCTCCCTTCCCCGAGCCGGCGCTCGGGAAAACCGCGAGAGAAAACCCAGCAGGGACGGCTCCGCGTGGAAGCGACTCTGAACCCGTGGGATGAGAGCGCGGGGTGGCCGAGGCGGGGACTTCAGAAGGACACCTCGACCCAAATCCCCCTCCCCTGGGCTGGACGAGTTTTCCCGGGAGCTGGGAGGCTCCCGCTTTTCTTTGGGATGGGGTTTGTTTGTTCTAAGCTGTTGTGGGAAGCACCTGTTGTCGCCTCGGGCCGCTGCTGACAGCGGGGACCCGGCTCGGTGTCACCAGGGTGGGACTCGAATTCCCGATTCCCGATTCCTGGCGTTTTTTGCCGGATGTGGAGGTTAAACAGGGACACGAGGGCTGCCGGGGTGGGTTTTGTAGGGAAGGTTTGCGGTGCCACGTCCGGCTCCTTCCATGACTTAAGTTGCCTTCAATTGTTGGATTCGGGATATTTTCAAGGCCCCTCCCGCCCTCAGGGATTCCCCCCGTTCCCTCCCTCAGGGCTGACTCTATCCCAAAGCAAAACATTCCCGCGGGGCGGGATCCTCATTCCCAGCCGCGGGCTGGGCTGGGGGGTGGAATTCGGGATAAGGATCTGGTTTTCCAGCTCCATCCTTCCCTGGGGAGCCAGAGGGGGTCCTGCTCCGGCCGCCCTTGGCAGCTCCGTGCCGGTGAAATGTTATCCCGGGAGTCTCGGAAGCCTTGGGATCAGAGCCGGGCTGGGGATGGTTCTGTTCCCCCACATTCCCCCTTCCTACCCTGCGGACTTCCCAGCAGGCAGCATCCCCCCCCCCCCGGAACGCTAAACCTCGGCTGCAAAATCCCAGGAAAATCAAAACAGAGGCGTTGCAGGAATCGCAGTTTTCCTACGGGGTCGTTATCCCGAATGCCGGGGAGCCGAGGGTCGCGTCCATGGATCCCTTGGGATGGATTGAAGTGAAACCACATGGAGCGAGGGCTGGAAATCCGTGGATGTGCCAGGTTTATTTTAGGACAGTTTGGCTGCAGTGGGAAGGAGGGAGCTGTTGCGATTCTCCATAATTATCCGTGACTATCCAGAAAGAGATAACAAAATAGAAAGGCGTCACTTGGGAAAATATCCAAGGAAAAAGGAAGGGAAAGGAAGGATGAGGTTGGAGAGAGGAAAGACCTTGCTAAGAGGCACCATCCCACCTGCAGGATCTGCTCCCCGCGGACCTTTCCTCCTTATCCAGCTCAAACCCCAGCTCATTCCTGGGTGGATCCGAGGTTTTGCCACCACACCCCCAAAAATCTCCTCCTCCCTCCTAATCTCAAATTCCCACTGCGGAGTCTTATCACGAATTCCTCCCTCACGGTGTCGGTGTCGGAGTCCCGCGAATTCCCGGGCCCCCCTGTTTTATCCTCACCCCCTCGCCCCGGGGCCGTTTGTAAATCCTTATTTATTTGTTGGAATTTTACCCTGTGAGATGGAATTGTCTCGTGGAGATCCCGTGTGGGCACCAATAAAGCTTTGCCAGTCTGGTTTAGAGGAACTGCTCAGGGAATGTTCTTTCTCCCCTTCCCAAAAATTCCTCCGGGAATCCAGGAAAACCCCGGAGCGTTCAGGGCTGGTTACTTCCCCAGTGGGATTAAAAAGGAAGGAATGAGCCATAAATAATGGACAGCATTTCAAGGGCAAAGTAAAACCCCAAATGAGCTGCAAGTGTCTCGTTCCGCGCCGCCTCCACACGCTGTTCCTCACCCCGGCCTTCCGAGCCCACCAAAACCCGGTTCTCCTGCTTTGGTTTGTTTTGGTGGAAGTTTGGTCCTTGGGCGTGCTAAAATCCTGGGAATTTTGGGGAGGGGGGTGTGTTCCACGGGGTCTCATTTTGCTGGGGACTCAGCAGAGCTGACGGCCCTTGGGATTTTTCCCGGTGTCTCCCCCTCTCCCGGGAAGCAACGGGAACGTATCGTTTATTAATCATGAGGGCCTCGCGCTCCGGCACGTTTTGGGATCCTCCCCACGCCGGGTGGAGGCTCCCGGCTGCCGGAATCACGGCAATAACCACTCCTCAATCCACGGAACTCGCTCTGTCCCAGGCCAGTCTTATGGCTTTTTATTTCGGAGAGCGGCGCGGCGAGACCGGGCCCCGGCCCGGCGGGTTCTCTCCGTCCGGGATCCCCTTTCGGCCCGGCCCCCGGGCTCCCCTAGAAGGGGGTGGTTTTGGGGAGGAGGGCCCCGGGCGCGCAGCAGGGCTGGGGGCGCAGGGGGTGCTGCTGGCAGGGCAGGGGGGGACACGCGCAGCCCTTGGCGTCGCCGCGGGGCGTGGCGCGGTAATCCAGGGGCTCCTCCTCGTCCTCGCTGTCCCCCGGCTCGCCGTCGGCGCCTCGGCAGCAGCACAGGCCGGCGGCGCGGCAGCGGCGCAGCACGCCCTGGAAGGAGCTGCGGAAATTCTCGGAGAGCAATCCGTAGAGGATGGGGTTGGCGCAGCTGTTGGAGTAGCTGAGCAGCAGCGAGGCGTTGTGCGCGCTGGCGTCCAGCCGGCCGGGCAGCAGCAGCTCCAGCAGCTGCACCACGTAGAAGGGCAGCCAGCACACCACGAACATGGCCACCACGGTGACCACCAGCCGCGTCAGCTTGCCCTCGGAGCGCCGCCGCTGCCGCCAGCCCACGCCCTGCGCCACGGCGCGCATCTTGCCGGCCAGCAGCAGGTAGCACAGCGCCATGGCCACCACGGGCAGCACGAAGCCCAGCGCGCTGCTGTACACCACGAAGGCGGCCGCCCACGCCGGGCTGGGCCACAGCAGGTCGCAGGCCACGGCGCGGCCGTCGCGGGTGACGGCGGTGCCGGCGAACACCGGGATGGGCGAGGCCACCAGCAGCGCCAGCAGCCACACGCCGCCGTTGACCAGCTTGGCCACGCGCGGGCGGCGGTAGGAGGCGGCGCGCAGCGGGTGCACCACGGCGATGTAGCGGTCCAGGCTGAGCACGGTCAGGCAGAAGACGCTGCTGAACATGTTGAGGCCGTCCACGCCCAGCACGGTCCGGCAGAGCGCGCGGCCGAAGGGCCAGCGCCGCAGCGCCGCCGCCGTGGCCACGAAGGGCGCGCTGAGCATGAAGAGCTCGTCGGCGATGGCCAGGTTGAGCAGGTAGATGTTGGTGGCCGTCTTCATCTTGGCGTAGCGCAGGATGACGAAGATGACCAGCGCGTTGCCCAGCAGCCCCAGCAGGCACACCAGGCCGTAGACGCACTGCAGGACCACCATGCCCGCGATCTCCGCCGCGCTCTCGCCGCGCCCCGACGGACGCTCGGCCTCGGCCGCCGCCGCGCTGCTGTTGGGGGGCGGCTCGGAGCCCGCCCAGCCGGAGGAGACGCTCCAGAGGGGAATCCCGGCCCCCAGGAGCTGCTCGGCCTCCGTGCTCATGGCGGGAGGTGATCCATGGACGGCGCGGCGCCGGCGCCAACCTGCGGGCAGGGCACGGGGCTGAGGGCACGGAGATCCCGGCGTGCCCGTTCCCCTGGGATTGGGAACCTCCGTCCGTTCGCCGCCCCCCGAATCCCTCCATCGACCCGCGCCCTGCCTGGACACCTCCTCGGGCCGCAGCATCCCGGATTCTTGGGATCTTGGAGGCTCTGGGGTGCGGTGGGAAGTAACCCTGCGTGGGGCTCCTCAAACCAGGTGGGATGGCCTGGGAATCCCGACCCAGCCCAGGATCCAACCCCAACCTGGCCTGGGAATCCCAACCCGGCCCAGGAATCAATCCCAACCCGGCCCGGCATCCAACCCCAACCCGGCCTGGGAATTAGCGCCATCCACCTTAAGGAGCGCCCGCCAATCTCCAGGATTTCATTCACCCTGCCGAGGAGGAAGCCAGCCTGGAATGTTTTACCTCTCAGTATTCCAGGGATTGAAGGAGCCTCACGCCCTCCTGCCGGGGGGAAGCGGCCGCTGCGGGAAGCTGCTCCGGTGGGATCCGTCACCGACGGAAAGTCCTGCTTGACCTGGATCAGATGACCAGGAAGATCCGGACCTTTTAAAGCGAAAGACAGAGCGGGGATGGACACGCGGGCTCTTCCCCCTCTCCCGCATCCCTACGCCGCAGGCATCGGCTTTCCATGGCGAAATAAACGCGGCGCAACTTTCTGCTCCAGGATTTCCGCTGGAAAACAGCGCAGCGCCCTCCGCCCTCCTCCCGCCGGGCTGCGCCGTCCTGCGGCTCCCGGCCGGAGCATTCCCGCTCCAGCGGCTCCTTCCCGGCGCTGCGGAGGGCGGGATCCGCAGCCCCATCCCCCCCGCCCCCAACCACCCACCACCCCCCCGCATCCCGAATCCCGAATCCCGCATCCCGCATCATCCCGCACCCCGCCCTCGCATCCCCCCCGCGGCTCCGGGGGGAGGCGGGAGATGGAGAAGGAATGGTTGCCTCGGCAACGCATCCCTCATCCCGCATTCCTGCCGCGCATTCCCGCCTTCCCCGCGCTCCTTCCCAGCGCCGCAGGGCCCCGGGTCCTTCCCGCTGGAGCCCCTTCCCTGCGGCGCCGAATCCCGGGATTCCGGGCATGGAGAGGTGAGGAGCAGCCCCACGTCCAGACCCACCGGGAATTCCAGCCCGGATTGGCGGCTCTGCTGGAATTGGGGTGCAAGGAGTGAAAAGGGGAAGACATTCCCCCATTTCGTTCTTTTGTTGGAAATCAGTTGCTGGGTTTGGGTTTTGTGGGGATTTTCTTGGATGAGAGGGATCCAGGGAATCTTATCCCTGGCAGCAGCTCAGCCCAGGCCATGGAATCATGGAATTGTGGGATCACAGGGTCATGGAATCACGGAATGGTGGAACCAAAGGGCAGTAGGAATGAGGGAACCCCCGAGGTTGGAAAAGCCCTCTAAAATCACGGAATGTGATGGTGAATCCAGCACTGATCCAGGTCCCCCCAGTGCCGCATCCACATGGGTTTAAATCCCTCCTGGAATCAGGAGTCCACCACTGCCCCAGGAGAGGAATGTTCCTGATATCCAACCTCAGCCTCCCCTGAGGCCCTTCCCTCTTATCCCGACTTTTATTCCCTGGGAGCAGAGCCCAATTCCCACCTAATTCCCCTCACGGAGTTGTAGGGAACGAGATTCCCCCCCCTCCCGATCCTCCTTTTTTCCAACATTCCCTTCTCCCTCACTGCTCCTCATCCCATTTATCCCAACCCTGGCCGGGAAATGGTGGAGCTCATTGCCTCAGTCATCCCCAAATCCCAGCACCGGGAATTTCTGGGAATTTGGAGCTGGCTGAACGAGCCCATTTGTGGCCCCACTGCCGGGACGGGAATAGGGATAAAGATCCATCCGATACTCCTGGGAACGGGCTTGGAAATCCTGGGAAAACAGGTGGATTTTCTCCTCGCTGCTGAAATCCACGGCCGTGGTTAATGGTGCAGCTGGCGCTGATCCCGCTGGGAATATCCGGGGAATGCTGGCACCCCATCCCCCCCGATTCCATGGGGTGTTCCAGGGGGATGGAGGAGAGCGGGATCCCGCTGTGCTGGCGCAGAAATTCCCGGGTGCCAGCCCAGGAGCTCCGGGCGTTCCCGTCACAGCCGGAGACCGGAAAACATGGAATTAAACAATGGAAGCGGCCGCAGCTTCCATGGGCCCCCTGCACCTCCCGGAGCAACAGGAAACCTTTGCAGGCTCCTTTGCTGCCAAGGAGGAAACTCCGCCGTGGATTTGATCCCAGAATTCTATGGAAAACTCTGGCTCGGGAGGAGCGGGAATAACCTTGGCTCCAGGGGGACAATTCCAGGTGTTTTGGAGCCTCGCCGTGGGATAAGGATGCTCTGACTAGGAAGCTTCGGCTTTCTTCCCGTTCCAGGAGCATCCGTGAAATCCTGGCATATCCCCAGTAGAGCCCAACTCCTAAAAATCCTGGGATTCTCCTCAATCCCACCCTCAGGAACGGCCCCTGATCCCGGATCTCGGAGCCTGCTCTGATGCCGAGGGAAAAGCGGGATTTGCTGGGCGCATCCCAAGGAATCTGTGGATCTTGGGATCAGCAGTTCTGGGATTTTAAGACCCGGGGTTTGTAGGGAGCCTCTAAGTCAAGGAATTCCAAGGAAAGCATCCTGGGATTTGGTGGGATGTGGTTTTCCCGGTGTCCAAGGAAATCGTTCTGCTCTCTCCTTATCCTGGAATCCAGTTAATTTTCCTCTTCATTCCCATTATCCCTGTCCAGGGATCCCTGTCCCGCTCCCCCGCCGGGGCTGGATCCCAAATCCACACCGAGGACTTGGGAAAAGCGGGAAAAGTGGAGAGGAGCCTGTGGATGCTGGGAATTGATGAACCCCTGAGCGGGGTGGGATTTTCCTGGAGGAATTCCCGTTAAAAGGGTCCCGCTCCCCTTTTCCAGGTAAATCCCCTACGGAATCCCTTTTCCACCCCTCGCATCTTCCCAGCAATTCGGGATCCAGGAATTCTGCACAATCCCGGAATATTTGGAAGGGATCCTAAAGGACACGGTGTTCCAGCCCCACTTCCATGGGCTGCTCCCAAATTTCCCCGCCTCCCCCCGCCCTTCCCGCTCCTTCCCGATTTTCCCGAGGAAAGCCCGAAATGTGGGGATTTGCTGCCCTCTCCTGGGAGCCGCCAAATCCTGGGATTTGGGATGCTTGGAAATACACTTTGGAATATTTTTCTAAACTCCGATTAAAATCTCCAAGGCATTCCCAGGAAAGACAGGAACTGTGGGAAAAGGATTCTTCCCAAATTCCAGAAAAGCCAATTTTTAATTTTTTTTTTTTTTTTTTTTTTTTTTTTATCCCTCCTTAAACCCCTTTTATTTTCGGGAATTCTGGGAAAAGCTGGATCGGGAACAGCCAAAAGCTGACCTCGTCTTCCGGGAAACAAAACTTAAAATTTCCC